AGAAGTGGGAGATAGAAAGACCTAGAAGGGTCTGGAGCTCCACAAGGAGACCAACAGAACCAAAAAATCTGGGCCCAGGGGTCTTCTCTGATACTGATACTCTAACTAAGGACCATGCATGGAGATAACCGAGAACCTCGGCACAGATGTAGCCCATGGCAGCTCAGTCTCCAAATGGGCTCCCTAATAAGGGGAAGAGGGACTGTCTCTGACATGAATCAGTGCCTGGCTCTTTGATCACCTTCCCCTGGGGGAGGGGAAAGCAGCCTTACCAGACCACAGAGGAAGACTATGAAAGACAGTCCTGATGAGACCTGATAGGCTAGGGTCAGATGGAAGGAGAGGAGGACCTCCACTATCAGTAGACTGGAGAAGGGGCATGGGAGGAGATGAGGGAGAGAGGGAGGATTGGGAGGGGACGAAGGTGGGGGCTACAGCTGAGATACAAAGTGAATAAATTGTAATAAATTAAAAAATTTATTTGAAAAAATTTAATGTCAGTCATGATACATTTAATCCCCAACTGTCTGCAAGAAAACACCCCCTTCCCTTTTTTGAAAAGAAGCAAAGAACTATTAAGCTATAGCACATCTCCTTGAACACCAAAATTAAATTTCTGTCCCTCCCAATTCCTTCCTGTCCATTAAGAAAAGTTAAATTAAGAAAGGGGAGGTCAGTCTTCACCGTACATACTTCCTTCCTTCAGTTTACCCAAGGCCCAGGTGAAGTAAGTTCCCCCTATCTCTGGGTCTAATAAAGGCCAGCAAAATTAAAACTGAAGACATATAGCAAAAGAAAGGAGATGACAACAAATAGGAAAGTGACCAGTCCTAGAGATGCAAATATAAAGCAATGATTTAATGGTGTAAACTCTTTTCAGAGAAAATAAAATAAATGACTTGCTTTTTGAATTGAGGTTCACTGCATGTCAAAAAAGTTCAGTAACGTGCCATGTAAAATAAATTACCACTATGCCAAGGAACCAATTCCGCATCTCACACTCTTTTCCCTGGCTCAATTAGAGGCAAATTTTTGTAAATCAAACTCCATTAGGTATTTACAACTCCAGGAGCTGTTGCCAGAAGGTCAAAGTTAGTCTGCTCATTAACACCATTTGGATGAGGGCCTAGAAACTGCTAACACAATCTCATCAGCTTCTTTTAAATTTTTATTTAATTTTTATTTTTTATAATTTATTCATTTTATATCCCGATTGTGGCTCTCTTCCTCATCTCCTCCCAGTTCCACCCTTCCTCCCTCTTCCCCCATATCCCCTTCCCCTAGTCCACTAAAACAGGGAATCCTCCTACCCTGCCATCTGACCCTAGCTTATCAAGTCTCATCAGGACTGCCTGGATCCTCTTCTGTGTCCTGGCAAGGCCATATCGCCAGGGGGAAGTGATCAAAGAGCAGGCAACCGAGTTTATGACAGAGACACAGCCCCTGCTCCCATTACTCAAGAATCCACACGGAGATTGAGCTGCCTACGGGCTACATCTGAACAGGGAGTCCTCATTAGCTTCTTAAACAGCTGTTAGGAACTCAACTTACATAGTTTAGCTAAACCAACAGTTCTGGTCTTTTCAGGTCAACTCTCCATACTGCCATAAGGATTAAGTTCAAAGAACCAAGCTCCAGAATCCACTTAAGATGATGGTGTTTTTCCTTCAACAGGAAACAACTTACCTAAGGTGTCCTTCAGGTTTTTAACAATAGATGCTTTCCGAGCACTGTTTTTTCTTTCCACATAGTTAGAAGGGACAAAACCTGTTTTATTCATGGAATTTCGAACTCGCCACCAGGATTTAGAGTCATCCAGAAGCCATAATCTCTCATTCTTCTTGATATCCAGCTCTTGCTCTTGCTGGGCCGCATAATCAAATTTAGCTACCACCACCACTTCTTCAGCCATCTTTCAGCAGCTTTGGTACTGTAACACACAGAAAATGTTGCTGAAGTAACAACATTCATGGAACATGGAAAAGCATGTTTCTATGCTTTTCCAAAAAGATATGCTTAAACATTTAAGAGGCCAGGTATTATGAATCATACCTGTAATCCCAATACTCAACAGGCAGAAGCAAGAGGACCTCCCTAAATTTGAGGCCAGCCTTGGCTACACACTAAGTTTGAAGCCAGACTAAGCTACAGAGTAAGACCCTTACTTACAAAACCAATACACAATACAGAGGAGATGAGATGGGTGGGACTGTATACAGTTCAGCAGCAGAGTGCGTGCCTACTTTACACACAGCCCTGAGTTCAGTTTCCAATACTATAAAGAGAAAAAAGTGATATATGAAAACTATATACCAGGCAAATACTAATTTTTAAAAAAGTTTCTATTTAGTGTTATATAAACTAACTTTACATTTAAAACCGCAATTAGCAACAAAATTCACTACACAAATGATTGAAAGTCCTTCTTAATGTAAATAAAATGAAGCTTGTAAATATTAAATAATACAGATGCTTTCTGAACATTTTTTCCTTCCCATATAGTTAGAAAGTACAAAATTAAAATGTATTAGTACAACTACAGGAGAAAGTAACAAATTATTATAAAGGATAACTTTTAACACACTTATCTTAATAATAAATCAAAGAGACAAAAGCATTATCGAGGTTACAGAATAACTGACATTTTATCAGTAAGTGTGACATAATGTACATAAAGTGTTAATCCTAAATAAAAGAAGATAAATGGAACATATAAAAATTATCAATACAGGCTGAAAGAAAGTGTTAGCCTGTAATTTCAGCATTTAAGGCTAACCTAGGCTCTGTGTCTCAAGTGTCTCACATCTTTTGTGTTGCTCTTTGATTAAAACTCAGTATACTGATACATGTGTGTGAAAAAAAAAAAATGAAATAAGGGCAGAAGCAATGGCTCAGTGGTTAAAAGTACTTCCTGCTTTGCCAGAGGACCCAGATTGGTTTCAGTACAACCCCTCTCTTCCTCCTCACACATATACAATAAAGAAACTTAAAAAAGAAAATGGAATAATGAAGCCTATTACTTTCTAATCTAAAAAATATTTAAAACTTTCATGTATGAATCTTAATACATATGTATGAATAATAACACAAACAACTTTACAAATAAATCCTAAAGTAATGAAATTATATGAAAAATAACAAAATATAATTGAATTAGTTATTAAGAAATCTTTCCATGTCAATACCAAATTCTACTGAAGTCAAGAAGAAATTATATTTGTTCACATGTTATTTTATTTACTTTTGTTTTTTCAATACAGGGCTTCCCTGCATAGCCTTGACTGTCCTGGAACTCACACTGTAGGCCAGGCTGGCCTTGAACTCCGAAATCTACCTGCCTCTACCTCCCATTTGCTAGGATTAAAGGTATGCACCATCACTGCCCAGCTTATATACATTATTTTAAGAGAAAAAAAAAATACAAGCAAACTCACTCCTGAAATTTAGTTTAGACTCAACCTCTTTCTGCTTTCTTGAGAGATTATTTCATTAAAGCAGATATGGCTCATGAAGCAAGCAAATAAATTCAGCCTTTTGTTTTGGGTATTGATTAGCAAATCTATTTTCTCAACAATGAAGCAAGTATTCTAGTGTCTTTAGCTTTAATAAAGACTTCAGCATGCTTTGTAGGAGAATCACTAAAGTCAACAACAATAGTGTGCAAAAACAACAACAACAACAAAAAAAAAAAAACCCAACAACAACATAGTACATAAGAAACACTGATGAGCTACGGATGTAGTGGATCAGTGGCAGCATGCTTGCCCAGCATGCATAAGGCCCCAAGGGCTCAATAACCATCCTGAGAAAAACAAAAATGAGCAGAGAAACTAGGGGGAGGAAAAACAAACAAACAACTATTATATTATTGCAACTTGTCTGTCCTAAATTACTTCAATACAAAAATAATTACTGTCATATGATGCAAAATTAAGTTACAATAAAGGCTGAGGAGATGGCTAAATGGTAATGTACCTGCTATACAAACAAGAGGATTTTAGTTTGATACCCCAGAACCTATTAAAGGCATTTAGCAGCACACAACTGCAAGCCCAGTTTTGAGTAGAGGTTAAGTCCCAGGATGTAGCCCTGTACTTGCTGCCAGCCCATCTAGCTGAATCAGAGAACTCTAGGTTCAGTAAAAAAACAAAACAAGAACAAAAAAACTTTTCTCAAAATTAAGCTAGCACGCTATTAATAAAAACACCTGGTTGTCAACCTCTGCCATACAAACACAGAGACAGAGATAGACAGAAATTACAATGAGCAACCAGCTTTCTCAAACACTGGAAAACTAGAAGCAAGAGATAATTTTCAAAGATACCTAAAGAGCTGTGATTCCTCCCTTATGGCCCTGCCACCCCACAACTAATCTATACAAACAGTGAAATTTACTTTGATATTTGACAATTGTTTTGAAATTTTTTTCTAGAAAAGCATGTATGTAAAATTAGTAATGAATATTTTGAAAAGATAATCATATACTTACAAACTGTATGTATGCTCCAGAATTTAATGTCTCCTTTGAGGAGAGTACTCGGATTACCTTTCTATTAGAACCTATTGTTATTTTTAGAAATGCAACTTGGGAGACTAACTTTAGCTTCAAATAACTGGATTAACCAAAGCCCCACACTGGGTATAAGAATAACACGTTGAACTTTTAAGGCCAATTAAGTAAAATGAAAAGAGCCTTCAGAAAAAGGTAAATGGCTCTTGAGAAACAATAAGAAATTGTATCGGGATTCCCCCCACAGGCAAACCTGATATAAGATGGGAACAACTGTCGCCATTTTATTAGCTGGAGGATGAAACTGACAGAAAGACAGTTGCTTGGGAAACAGCCAGAACTGATTAAAAAAACAAACACACACACACACACAAACAAACAAACAAAACACACCGCAAAAGCAACCCTCTGAACTTACAGGTCTTTGAGTTAATAATGGAGAGACTGTTCAGTCTCGGGTAATTTAGGTCATCCACTGTTATTTTCAATTAGAGGGTTACACTACAGGTAAAGTTATTACAATGTACTTAAAAATGCTGAAGTAATTTAGGTCAATATAATACTGGAACAGAAACATACAAACCAATATAATAAACATACAGTCATATACAGTTTAGAACTCTTTGTTCCCAATGTACAACTGAGTTCTACTTTAGGCTTTTAAAAAGTAGATTATTTCTAACCCTGGCAATGGACTGAGACACCTTGGTGGTGGTGTTCTTCTATCAGTCAGGGACAGAGCAGATGGCAGCACTTTGTTTATTCTAGCTTGATGCCTGGCTTGGTGGCTAAAGCTGTTTTATGCTTTGGGCTCATAAAAATCAAAACAAATCCAGGCAACACAGCATGTGAGGAGGAAAAGAGACCTGTCGACCGCCATGCCAACCACAAACCTGCCTTCCAGCACATAGCATAGGTGGGCCATAGACACCTGCTTGCCACGATGCCATGCAGAATGGGTGGAGGATGTTGCCCAGGGGCCTGCCAGCCACGTGGCCACCCTGCAGTGGGAGCCACCACAATGTGAGAGTATGTGGTGGTCAGATGGAGAGAAAGAGAATGGAGCAGCTTGAGTATTATGAAGAGAGCTGGAACTGAAGACTCAAGGGTGGAGACAAGTAGCCTGTAATAAGTGGCCAGCCCCGCCACCTGGGGCTATCTATGGTGATGTCCCAGTCCAAGCTACCACTGAGAGCCACGCTGAGTGCCATGTCTAAACCTGTGGCTATGCAGCAGCAAGGGTTAGTGCCAATGTCTATGGCTCATATCACCACTAGAGAACATGGCAATGTCCCTGGTCAGGACATCTCTCACTGATGGCAGCGCATGGGACAGTGGGCCCTACGCCTTGCCTAGGTAGCACAGTAGAGCTGGTCCTGGTGGCAAAGGGGGATGGCTGGAACGGGGGAAGATGGAGGGATTTGGGGAGGTGGGTTGGTTGAGTGTGGGTGCTGAGTGAGCCGGCCCTGAGAGTGTGAGTGTAGGACAGCTGACCCTGCTGCTCGTCTGCCATGGAGTGGGACAGGCACAAAGGTGATGATGGCCCTGCCCCATACCACTTCTGGCAGTCAGGAAAGCTTCCCCCAGGATCAGGAGCTTGGAAGAGCTTGCCCTGCACCTCACCTAGACAGAACAGAGCTGACCCGAGTTGTGGTGGTGGGAGGGGATAGGGATGCAGGTGAGCCAGCCTGAGGGTGAGAACTCAGGAGAGCTAGCCCTTACACTCTTCCGCTGTGAGGTAGTATGAGAAAGGGGGTGATGCCTTTCCCCGTCCCTTACCCTGCCCCCGCTCCTTGCCCCTCATCACCTGCAGCACTCAGGGGAGCATGACCTACACCTCGCCTGGGCAATACAGTGGAGCTGGCTCTGATGCTTTAGTAAAGGCATGGGTGAGCCAGCCCCTAGGGTCTGAGAGTGGTAGAGTTGGCCCAGCCCCTTAGAGGTTGTAGCACTTGAAAAGAGTGGGCCCAGAGCGTGGAGCTAGCTGTGGAGGTCAAGGTGCAGGTGAGCCAGGCCCCACTGGCATGAGAGGAGGAGAGCTGAACCTGCCTCCTGCAGATGGTGGAACTGGGTGGGCTGGCTGAAGCAGTGTTGGAGTGCTCATCCTAGTGGTGCAGAGAAGGGAGAGCCAGCAGTAGAGCTCATCTACCACCCAAGCCCAGATCCAGGGCTCTGAGTTGGCCCACTCCAAAACACAGATCTGTGAATGGTTGAGACGCAAGAAAAGGCCAGTCCTGCTATCCCAAAGCTGTAGGGTAGCTCATCCCAATGGTGTCAATGAAGCCAGAAACCTCGAATCAATAACTTAAAGAAATGAACATTTGCAAGTGAATGTATGTGGACAGAAGGATATACTGTGGCACATACTGTGACATACTATAGCTTCCCTGATGAGATGTTTTCTATGCCTTATTTTTGTTGTTTGCTTTGTTTTATTTTGTAGGGGAGGTTGAAAGGGTGGATATGAAGGACAGGAAGATGAGTGGAACGGGATGCATGATATGAAACTCACAAAGAATCAATAAAAAGTTTTTTAAAAAGCAGAATACTTCATACTACTGGTGACCTAAATATTAAAGTGATTTCTGTTTATATTCCTATTCCTTCTCCCCCCAAATATTTAAAGGTTTCACACAGAACAACTAATTCAAAAGCAAGTGATTTTTAGTGACTTTCTTTGATAAATCTAAAGCAATCACTTTAGTTTTCACAAAATAAAGTTCTTTAGCACTATTTGTTTATATAATAAATAAAGTTTAACAATACATATTCTTGGGAGAAACTTTCTTTCAGTAGGCAGATTTAATTCGTGGGAACATAACTGTCCCAAAGGTATCAGTTTATATGCTTCATTTACAGAAATGGAAGAGCTTAACCAGGCAAGTCAGTTAAGTAACTTTTATTATATGAAAACATTCAAACATGTAAGGATTTTGTATGAGGAGTAGTGCTACAAATCATGTTAGAATACGTTAGTTAATGAAATAACTGGCATTAGATTAACTGTCCTTTGGGGAAATAAATAGTCCCAGATTTCTAAACAGACGGAACTTTTTTCTAGGGAGTTGTCCTTTTGCTAAGTACAAGTGAAATTCCTGAATATTGTGTCAGTAGAATATGGGAGAAAGTTGGACATTTAAAACAGCAAATTAAAGAAGCCGATTTGCAGAGAGAATGGAACCCCTCTTCCCACCACTTAAGAAACATGTAGAATAGGTATATGCATACAAATTGTTCAACCTGCCAAACACTAGCACCACTCAAGAGTCTATTCTCCAGACTCCTAGTTACTTCCAAGAAGTGATTTCTTAATAACCTGTCTCTGTTTCTTCATCCATCTAAATGTGCTGGCCAAATTCCTTTTTCTGCGACTCAAGAATCTGAAAACATCAGCAGATGCCCTAGAGACTCTAATATCTACCAATAATAAACAGACATTGAGAAAGCTGAGAAGCGGGAAGCATTAAGGACATAGCACAATGGTAGAATATTTGTCTTGCAAAATCCCTGGGTCCAATCTTTAGTTAAAACAAAACAAAACCAAAACCTGAAAAGTGAGCTACTAACAACTAACAGCTTGTATTTTCCATATCAATCAAAGTAGGGGCACACAGGCTACAGAGAAAAGTTTCAGATAATAATTACTTTACCCAAGTTTTACCCAAGTCAACACCACAAGAAGTAATTCATGGTCTTGTCTACAGCAAAATCCAAGAAGGAAATCTGTATCTCCAATCCTCCAGAGGCTATTGTGAGACCGAAATCTAACCCAACATTTACTTATCAGGCAGGCAGGCAAAGACCTAAACAACATGTTCAACCAAGAGGAAACAATAAATCAGCATTTAGAATCCTCTGCCCCCAAGTATCAGAATACACATGCTTTAACAAGTGCCAGGGAACAGATAGAAAGATAAACCAGCCATAGCCTTAGCCACAACAAAACTCAACAAATCTGAATGAACTGAATCACAGCGTGAATAGACAACAGAATCAAACTAGAAATCAGTAGCAAAAAGTGTGTGGCAAAGTATATTGGGTTTTAAGGGGCCAAAGAGACTTACTCTATATAATATGAAACTACTAAAAGATAATAATAGACCCTTAAGTATTAGAGCCTAGAAGGTAATTATGTCAGATGTGCAGCCCTTGGAAGAGACTGCTATAGACAGTTCTAATGTGTTCTTAATGAGCGTCCATGAAGTCTTCTAAAGCAAGTAGCCCTGGTACATATATCCTCTTGCTTTCACAGCTTACCTTGTGTTCCTCTAGTACACACTTCTACCATATGTCATGTAATTATAGCCAATGGGAATCCTAAGTTAAAAAAAAAAATTGGAGCTGCATAAATCTAGAATTTTCTTTTAGCTTCTAAAACTAAGAGTTAAATAAGCATCTGTAAACCATCTAAGCTTTAAGCATTTATTTCTAGTAAAAACACCACCAAACTAAGACATACATGTAACAGGAAGATCTCCTCCATTCATGAAGAACAGAAATAATAAAATTCTGAATAAGCCACATGTCAAAGAGAAAAAATCTTCAAGAGACCAGATGTCATAATGAAATTAGGTAGATCTATATAGCAAGTCCTAGACTAGCCAGTACTAAACAGCAAGATCTGGTGAAAAAAACTGTGTATATAGGGGAGAGAGGGCACAAAGCATCCATTGAAGAATATGTAGAGATGGCATCAGTACACAAAAAGATATTCATTAGCTATTAAAGTCACATTAAGATGCCACTACATAACATACCTAATAGAATGGCTATTTAAAAGACGAATACTGCCAAATGCACACAAATATGACAAAACTGGATCATTAATACGGAGCTGATAAAAATGTAACTGTTACAAATAAAACAGAAGACTGTTTCTAGTAAAACTAAACATGTAACCACCATATACTTTAAGATTGTCATCCTGGGTGTTTCTACATAACAAACAAGGCATGTTCAAAACTTCATACCAAGATATTATACAATATTCAAAAAGAGCCATACAGATGTCCTTTAACAGATGTCTGACTTTAAAAACTGTGGTAGCCAACATGTCTTTTAATCCTAGCACTCAGGAGGCAGAGGCCGGCAGATTTCTGTGAGTCTGAGGCCAGCCTGGTCTACAAAGCTAGTTCTAGGACAGCCAGGGCTACACAGAGAAACCCTGTCTCAAAAAAGACAAACAAACAAACTGTGGTAAATCCATACCAAAATGAGCAAGATTGATATACAAACCCTGGATAAATTTCTAAGAGAATTACAATAAGTGAAAAAATACCAATAATAATTATTACTTTCTCCATAACTCTATTTACATAAAATCCCTGGAATGATATGTTACAGAACTAGACCTAATGACTAGATAGTAATTACCAAAGATAGAGAATGGAAAGAGGGCCTGGAGAGATGGCTCAACAGTTAAGAGCACTGGTTGCTCTTCCAGAGGACCCAGGGAATACTCAGCACCAACATGGCAGCTCACCACTGTCTGTAACTTCAGCTCCAGAGAATCTGACACCCTTACACAGATACACATACATGCAAGTAACACCTATGAACATAAAATTAAAAATAATTTTAAAAAGAGAGAATGGGAACAAAAGAATTGCAAGTATGTTGGTTTTGTTAGTCAGCTTTCTCTTACCACTAAAAGGAAAACAAACAAACAAACAAACAAACAAAAGTCCTGAGATAACTTAAGAACTCAAACATCTTTGGCTCACCGTTTTGAAGGTATGACTGGCTAGCATTGGTGCTACAGCCAACTAGGCCTATGGAGTACAGCTACACAGAAGCATGTCAGGAACACATGAAGGAA